TAAGACACAAATACCTTAGGAAAAAATGTTTGATGAAGTAAAGAGAATTTGCCTTGTTGGGTATTACAAATTGCTCCTGGAAAAACACAAAGATGAGATTCTATTAATAACCTAGGATATAAGATAGGTTTATAGAAAAATCAACCACAGAAAGTACAAATCAGGAGAGATCAATTACTAACTCTTAAGATTTTCAAAAGTTGCTGGGAGATATTAACTGGCTAAGGCCCACAATTGGATTAACTACTCAAACGCTAAGTAATTTATTTCAAACTTTATAAGGTAATAGATCTTAAATAGTCCAAGAAAATTATCAGCTGAGGCTGAGAGAGAATTGGCTCTGGTGGAAGAGAAATTACAGGATGCACATGTAGATCTCTTGAATCCAGGGCTTGATTGTATCCTAGTCATACTACCTTCTACACATTCCCCTACAGCAATTCTTATGCAGAGAGAAGATAATATCTTAAAATGTATATTTTTTTACCACACAAACAGGAAAAATTAAAGACCTATGTAGAGAAGGTTTCTGAACTGATTCTGAAAGGAAAACTGAGACTTTGTCAATTAACTAAAAGTCTAAGAGTTTCATTTTTAAAAAATACCATGTTAATAGCAAAGGTTGGAAGAAAGATTTTTTTCCATCACTTGGCAACAAGCCAAGTAAATTATAAGAAATGTTCTGCTTGCTCCTTGTGTAACCAAACTCCACTACCTGCAGGAAGTACCCCAAAATGTACTCAAAGAAATTAAATTTGGTAAATGGATGTGTTCATTTGCTGAGTTTGGGAAATTAAAGTGCATCATACCATAAATACATATGGATTTCAATGGGCAACTGCTTTGAGTTCTGAAAAGGCTGACTCTATAATTACACAATTATTAGAAGTTATGGCCATAATGGGAATACCTGTACAAATTAAGACTGACAATGCTCTAGCATGTATCTCTAATAAAATGAAGCCATTTTGCATATTACAAAATAAAGCATATTACAGGTATGCCACACAACTCTATGGGACAAGCAGTTATAGAAAGATCTAATTGCACTGTAAAAGATATGCTTAATAAATAAAAAGGGATAATAAAGAGCCCTAGAGATAGATTGCACAATTCTTTATTAACTTTCAGTTTTTTAAATGCTAACATTTAAAGGGATGACAGGACAGCTGCAGAGATACATTGGATAATAGAAAAACTACTGAAATAAATCAGCCTATATATTTAAAAATGTGTTGACCTCAGAATGGAAACCAGAATATGTGTTATTTTGGGGAAGAGGTTTCGCTTTTGTTTCCACAGGAAAAGAAAGGCTATGGATACCATCAAGATTGATAAAGATTACATTTGAACAGAGACCTCTTGACTAGGAGATATAATAGTTCATCAAACAGTTTGATCGTTCAAGCCAAACTAACTTATAAGACTAACAAATGCCTTTCACTGGATCAGGTATGGAAAAAAAAGAAAATTTTTATTATTAAAAGATACTTTTTCTGTTGCCAAAAATCACTTCGCCTTAACAAAGATATAACTGCCAAAACCAGAACTCCCCAAAGTTAGGATTGGGGCAGGCTTTTGTTTTTGCCTTTCCGGGAGAATAAAAGCACCCAACTAAGGAATCTAAAGACCACTGGAAAAAAATGAGACAGAAGAAGAAGAAGAAGAAGAAGAAGAAGAAGAAGAAGAAGAAGAAGAAGAAGAAGAAGAAGAAGAAGAAGAAGAAGAAGAAGAAGAAATAATCATCAAGAGAAAATGTCCCAAGAAAAAAGAGTAAATTGGCCTAATGGTTTAGCACACCTTCAACAGGGTAGAATTTCATAAATCTTCCCAAATGCTTGTTTTTGCTGCCCTCTACAAACATAAAAAACAAATGGTCTTTTTGTGGTCCCAATTCAATTAAAATTCAAAGCTGGCTTTGGAGTTGGAATGTGGCTCTCTCCTTCTCTAAATGCAAGCATGCTTGTTAAAGGAAAATCCAAAATAGAGTATTTTCTCCAAATTTGCCAAATACAAACGGACCAGACATTGTAAATGTAATTCTAACTTGTTAATTGTCCTTATTGTGTATAGTTTTACTGTGTTAGACTTAAAACTTTTTCTTTTTATTTAGATAATGCCTGATAATTGTTCTTACTGTATTTTGGTTTTACTGTGTTAGAGTTAAAACCTTTCATTTTTATTTAGATAAAAAGGGGAAAACGTTACAGGATATTTGATCACACTGTGAAACTCCAAGCCTGTGTTAATAAAATTAACCTTGGATCAGTGGGTGGGGTCATGGACTAATTGACAAGAATTAGCCATAGAGAGTACAAAGGACCCAGGAAGATGGATAGAGAGATGTACAAGAAAGAGAAGGGAGGGACTTGGAGATTTGTGGGCCTTTTGGTTTGGAATGAGTGGAGAGATGCAATCTTGCTGGGTCCCCCACCAAAGAGCAAGGTCAGCTGGTTGCTTCTTTGTTTCTCTGATATAGCAAGTTTTCACCCCAGCATTTGATCCCGGAGTCTTTATTGGTAAATATAGCAACTTAGATTTTAAAAAAAATCACAGCTGCTGTTATTTTATCAAAAGAAACTGAAAAAGAGTTTCAGAGAAAATAAGAAGGTTTACTATTAAAGAAACCAAGAGACAGTGGTGGCACACGCCTTTATGGGGTGGGGGTGGTGTAAAGGCAGGTGGATCTCTGTGAGTTCACAGCCAGCCTGGTCTACAAAGTTCCAGGACATCCAGGACTATACAGAGAAACCCTGTCTGGGTTGGGAGACAGGGTGTTATCTTTGTATGTTATGGCTGTTAGCTTGATGTTTTTGTGGGACGCCTAACAGTGGAAGAGGGGGTGTCTATGACTCTTTGGCCTGTTCTTGGGACTCTTTTCCTCCTACTGGGTCGCCTTGTCCAGGCTTGATATGAGGGTTTGTGCCTAGTCTTATTGTAACTTGTTGTGCCATATTCAGTTAATATCACTGGGAAGCCTGCTTTTTCCTCAAGGGAAATGGAAGAGGAGTGGAGGAGAGGGGAGGTGGGGTCGGGGACTGGGAGGAGTGGAGGTAGGAGAGGCTGCAGTCCATATGAGAGAAGAATAAATAAAATAAATAAATGAGTATTGTATGAGAGAAGAATAAATAAATAAATAAATAAATGAACAAATAAAAAGAAACCATGACAAAAAGTTGTTTCTAGGATGAGAGAGCTGCAGAAAATGCTAAATGCTAATGAAAACTTCAGTAAAATAGAAAGTGAGGACTGGGCACAGTGTCTAGAATGTGGGGGGGAGGGAGTGGATCAGCATTTTCTGTCAAATGGTGGGGCAGGAATCAGTTGTAGAGAGTCAAAGACTAATTAGATCTCTATCTAGTTCATACTGTACATAAAAGTAAATTCCAGAAGATATAAAGGATGGAAGGATGAAACTTTAAAATGTTCTGAAGAAAATCTAAAATATCTTTGTGATCTCACTGTGAAAAAGGGAGTTTCAAAAAAAGAAGCATAAGCAAAAATGTTTTTTAAGCAGAAAATAAAAAATATGATTTGGTGAAGTTGATAGCATGCTTGCAATAACATAAGTCATTATAAAAATGAAAAATAGAGACTGAGGATGTGAGTTAGTTGAGGGAGTGCTTGCCTAGCATGTACAAAGCCCTGGGTTCAATTCAGCACCCCATAAATTGGGTGTGATGGTGCATGCCTTTAATCTCAGTGCTTAGAAAGTGTGGGCAAGAGGATCAGGATCTAAAGGTCATCCTCAGCTACAAAAAGAGTTCCAGGCCAACCTGGGCTACATGAAGCAATGATGACCATGATATTATTGATGATGATGATGATGATGATGATGATGATGATGATGATGATAAAAGCCACAAACATAATGAAAATTACAGGCCTTGCAACTAACAAAATGGTAATATTCAGAAAGCATAAGGAATTCTATAGGTTAGTAAGAAAAAGATGAATATGACCTAATAAATGGGCAAAGAATCTGAATAGGGGCCCACATAACCTATATATTATTAGTTCTACATAGCAACAATACTCACCTCACTATATCCTCAGTTCCTCTTTGTTCCCACTTAGATAACAGGATCTATCATCTATTTAATTTTTCTTGGTGCCTGAGACTGAACTGAGGGCCTTGTGCTGAAATCCCCAATCCTAGGATCCACCTTTTTTTATATACTATTATTTAATGATTGTTACTTTTATACAATTCTGCCTACATATTACCTGGATATAATTATAAGTCTCACAATTTAACAGAAAAATAGAGAAACCTGATAAGTACCCTAACACTCGGGACATTTGGCTTAAATTTTGTATATGTATACTGCATTTACACCATTTTCTCCCTCAATCTCCTCCTTCATCCCCTTGACTCCTTTCCAAGTTCATTGCCTCTTTTTCTTTCATTGTTATTGCTACATATATATGATGCATTATTATATAAATACCACCTGCTGAGTCCATTTAGTGTTGCTTATATGTGCATTATTTTGGGGATGACCACTTGGTATTGGATAACCAGTCAAGGGGCTTGTCCTTGGGGAAAGCTGATTCTCCCTTCTCAGCCTACAGATCTTCATCTAGTGGTTGGGCCTTATGAGACTGCCATCAGCCATGGTGGCATGTCAACTGACAGTGTCATTGTTGAAGTCTTCTTTAGACTACCATATTGTTGGGAGCTCATGGGGACAGCTTCCCTGTTATGTGTGGAAGACACAATTTCAGTTCTGATGAGATACACATACACTTACATGTGTGTAGTTTGGGGTAAACATGATATGATTCCCTGCAGCATTTTCAAACATCCTTGGTGTTATTATCCCTCCTCCCTCCCTCTCACACAGTATTGTCCTTCGTCATCTTAATCAATACCTTATACATCCCTTCATTCCACGATCCTGTTTCCATTTTCTTATTCATTTGACAAAACCATAGCCTTGAGAAATCCAATTGTCCTTGCTTTTGTAACTTTATGCCTTCACTATCATTTTCTATAGACACTCTTCCAGTGCAACCAAAGAGCAGATGCAGGGCCCAGTGACAGAATGTGGATAAGGTAGAAGACCGGACTGGTCCAGTGGCTTCTATTTCTTCAAAGAAGAATGAAGCACAAAGAGAATCAGAAAGATGGGAATCAAGGACCAGAAGTCTGAAGACAGAAGAGACTCGAGACAGTTATGAAGAATGAGAAGGCTGTGGCACAAAGGAAACCAGAGAGATTTTGGCGACTGTGAGTACTAATTTGTTGGTGATGCACTGATAGGGTATCAGTTTTCGGAACCGTGCATTATGTACCTTAGATTTGGGCACATGCCTGTCAGTATGTGATAGGAATGGACCATTGCCTCAGGGCCTGTGTCAGGAGTGCAGGTGCCAACTTCGACTCTGCTGTTAGATGCAGCCTTCCCAATCTAGTCTACAGAGGTTCTGCGCCTGTTTATTCTACCTAGTTCCTGTGATGAAACAGTCATTCCAGAGGAGACAGGGTTAGGACGGCAATGGAAACTTCATTTCAGCCCTGGACTGAACAAATGGATGTGCGACAGAGATGAGCTCGGCTCTTAGGACCCTGGTATCTTCTGTCTCCCATGGAAGATGCCTGTTCTAAGCTAGAAAAATCTCCATTATTAGTGCACATGTCTCCAGAATAACAGAGAACAAAAATGCCCTGTTAAATTGCAGTCAAAATGACTGTGAATTCAAAATTTAAAACTGCTAATAACTGTCATGTTTTAAACGGTGTCAGTATATTAGAAATATCTGTTTTGCTGATTTTTATGAATGTATAAAGTTTTTAATAAAAAAATCAACTGTAGAAATTGCTAGAGTCAATTAGCTGTTAGTTAACATTTCATTAATCTGGATTTTGCTTGTGATTTTTGCTTTTTTGTTTGTTTGTTTGTTTGTTTGTTTGTTGCACATGCACTAAATAAGCAGAATGGTGTTGCTAGGTATATGAAGACTAAACAAGTAGCCCCTAACATTATGAAGTTCACAGAGACAAAATTTTTATGTCTGTCTAGTTGAAGTATTATTTATTTTATCTATGAACAGATTCTATAGATTTAGCAAATGAACAATTTTTTCTTATATTTTAAATTTATTGCCCTTTAGAAATAATTTAGGTTAGGGGAGATTAGGTGTAATTTTGATCTTGGGCAGTAGAGGGCAGCAAAGCATCAGAAGGACTGCTTAAGAATGCCTTTGTGGACTACCAGGCAGACATTTTTCTATACATAGAATTCATTCAGTGACTTTTCCCTTGGAATCAATGGCACATCTTAGCTATAAATATAGGAAGTATGTAAATCTATTCTTATTAAAATTCATTCATGACTTGCCAAAATACATTTTAAAATAAATTTTTTACTGTTTTATTCTTTTTTATGTTATCCCTCTATGTTATATCATGAAAACTGATGAACTGAGGTCAAGCGCTGCATCAGTCTTCTCACAAATGTTGTAGTTTATCTGTCTTACTTGTGTCTTTCCAAGTTAACGATCTAGTGAGAGCCAGCAATAAGAACACCATGCCAACTATGGCTGTTGAAAGAATAATATCCCCATGTTATCTGTGAGCAGCATATCTCCACAGCATGGAATTTGATAACCCTTTATTTATATCACTTCCTTTGGCTATACTTCATATAAACAATATCCATGTGACCATAACGTTTCCAAGTGCAACTGTGTTCAATGTTAAGCTATTGCATTTTCGAGCGAAGAGAAGCTTTCGCTGGCAGGACGTGTTATTCCAGTTGCTGTGGAAGTCCACCTGCTCACTTGCACTTCGGTAGGGCATTGACTACAGTTGTTTATGGAGCACCCAGTTGATCCTGAACTATGGACATTCAGACAAAGAGGGTTTTTTGTTTCGTTTGTTTGTTTTTAAGTTTGAGTTGAGACAGCTGTTTCTTGGAGCTGCTACAACAAACTACCAGAAACTAGGTGATTTAAAACAGAAATTTAAGAGTTCAAGAGGCCAGAAGATTAAAATCAAGGTGGTCAGAAGAAGTTCCTGCTGGAGCCTCCAAGGGAGAATGCACCCTAGACTTTTTCCTGGTTTCTCATGGTTGCCATAAGCCCCGGCTTTCCTTGGCTCGTAGCTACATGGTTCTAATCTTTGCCTCATCACACATGGTAGTCACTCTGTGTGTCTGTCACTCTGTCTTCCCATGATCAAGATCTCGTCATTGGATTCAAGGCTCACTCTAACCCATTTTCACCCCGACCTAACTACCAGCGTCTTCAAAGACTCCTGTTTTCACTAAGTTTAAATCCTGAGGTTTCAGGTGGACAGGAATATTGAGGAAACTCATTATTTAACCCAGTACAAGAAGGAAGGCTATTTTATATTCCTTCAGAGAAATAATAAAAGGGAAGACTAATGCTTCCCTTGATGGAGATAATAGGAATAACTGAGTATTTTATATTCAGAATAAATGCATCCAAACATAAACTCAAATGAGTGTTTTTTAATTTATGTATTCATATATTTATTTATTGAGACAGGGTCTTCACTGTGTATCCCTGGCTGACCTGAAACTCACTGTGTAGACCAGGCTGGTCCTAAGTTCATAGAGATCTGTCTGTCTCTGCCTTCTAAGTGGTAGAATGAAGGTCAAATGCTACCACTCACTCAGATTCTACTTTATTTTATGCTCATATTATTTGTTGCCTGTTCTAGAGAGGTTTTCAATTATCTTACAAAATAATTAATATGCATCATGCACAATATAAAATGAATGCTATTCATTGTCAAAAATAGTATGTATTTTTTTTTGGCTGGGTAGTGTGGTACACACCTTTAATCCCAGCACTTGGAGGCAGAGGCAGGCAGATCTCTGTGAGTTCAAGGCCAGCCTGGTCTACAGCGTGAGTTCCAGGACAGACTCCAAAGTTACAAAGAGAAACCCTTCCTCGAAAAAAAAAAATTTAATTAAAAAAAATAGTGTATATTTTTTATTAAGCCTGAAGGATTAGCAGTAATTCAGTAAGAAAGGAAGATACAACAAAAATCCTTGCTATAAGTAGAGTCCAAAATGTACTATGTATAAAAATTCACCTTTACCTTATTGAAAGGGTGACAGAGAACATCTCAAGTAGTCTACCAGATAATGTGTGTTTTGCAAGCTATGGGGGGAAATAGACCAATTGTTAAAATTTATATCATACACTGAATTGAAAATAACCCTAAATAGCCACAATATAATCATTTCCTGACTCTTCATCTGTAGATGACACCACTAGCCATTCCCCACTTAAGAATTTTATCCAAATGAAGTTTGGGAGCCAAGTTCCAATCTAACTGTGATTCCTATTACCTTAGAAACATTTTCACAATTTTTAGACAGAATAGAGTCAAGACATGAAAATACAGATGATAGAGGAAAATACAGTCATGAGTCACTCAATGAAAACAAAACATTCTGAAAAACGCACCATTGGGCATCGGTGCCATGTAGACATCAAGGGTTCTCTCTAGTCCACTGCACCTCTGGGCTCTGTCCTTTAGCCGCAGTTAGTGAATGAGCTCTGTTGTTGACCCAAACATCATGCCACACATGATTCTGTAATCAGTTGCCTTATTATCATAAAAGGAAGCAATGCATCACTTCCTTAAGAGAGCAAAGTTTTTTATAGCAGTAATTGTTTTAAAACATATCACCGAGTGATGAAGATTGCACATAGTATCTTTTTTAAACTCCTAAAATAATCACAACAACAGGGAGCTGTTTGCCAACTGTTTTGTTAAAATAAAGACCAGAATGCCTAAACACAACTCAGTTGAGGCATTTTCAGGAACTGGAGAGAACTAAGCCAACAGTCCAACTTATTCACAACAATAAATGTTTTTCGGTAGCTGAGCTGTCTGTGGCCAGTGCATTCCTGTTATCCTGGCTACTGGGGAGACTGAGGCAAGAAGAGAGGGAAACGGGGAAGGGGAATAAATGAAGAAGAACCAAAGAGAAATTGAACGTCCTGAATGAAAACTTGGAAGTACTGAGAACCGATGTCCCAAGTATATTTCTCTCTATTATTGCATTCTGGAGTCCTAAAACTCTCCCTCCCCACCACCACCATCCACCACCAATATTCTAATTCTAAAGTGCAGACAACCCGGAGTAAGTCTCTGTGCAAGCAGAGGCTAGCTGTCCACTGAGAATTTGTGTTCCTCATTCCTTAGTGCTGAAGCTTCCGAAAGGTGACGACGAGGACAGGACCTTCATTCTCTGGACTCAGTTACAGGTAGCATCTAACTACATGGAATGTGAGTAGATGTGACGCGTGACATTTCCAGGTCAAAGCTTTTAAGAAAGCAAGGGTGGGGCCAGGAAAGTAACTCTGTGATAGAACTCATGCTTAGCATGTGAGGCAATAGGTTCAATCCCCAGTCTAAGAAAGAAAAAA